TTAGTTTCGGAAAAAATGGTCAAGTATTCCATCGAATTAGCCAGGCCTAAATTTTTTTTTTTTTCCCGTTCATGAGTTTTTTAATTCAATAAACTCTCCCTCCCCGTTAAATAAATTAAGACCCTTTGATTGAAAATCTGATCAATTGGAAAGAATTAGCTTATACTTCCCAACTCTTTAAACTCTGTGTTTTCTTCCTCTAATTAAATTTTATTTTTCTTTTATACAAAAAAAAAAAAGTAACAATAGATTTTTTCGAAAAAAAATTTATTTCCTTTTCTTATTTTTTCTGATAATTCATTAATAAAAAAAAACACAAAAATAATTAAAAAACATTTCCTTTTTTTTCTTGGAAATAAAAAAAATCTCATATGATTAGATGGGTGTATGAGAGTAGTTTCAATATATGGAGGAGCTAGATTGCACGGACATGGGACAAACGAGATACGGGAATCATACGCGATACGATAATTTTTAAAAAAGTAGCACATTTAACACGTTTAGGACACCAACTACCGTTATCACTAAATAAAGTTATAATACATTAAATATTTCTTAAAATAAATAAACAATCATTTATAATAAAAATTTTCATTAAAAAAAAAACATAAAAAAAAAAAAAAAAAAAATTCCTTAAATTCTTATTTAAATATAAATAGTTAAATCTCAAAATAATTAATCACTATTGATAAAATACAATAGATAAGTTGTATGCATTTTTTTTATGCAGGCCATACTAGGGGTTTGTCAAAAAAATGGGTAAGACACAAAAGAACACAATTCGCCTAACACCGAAATATAATGAGTTTAGGGTTTTAAGGTTAAAGGGTTTAAATGTTCCATAAAACAAGTCACGCCATTTATGAACACGATATAATTAAAACGTGTTGTTGTCACGGGTTGACACGCGAGTTTAGATTGAGTAACCGTTGATTTAAGAGATTAAAGAGGTAATTTTAGTACTAGATATAAATACTCCAAAAACTGGTAATTTAAATTTTATTATTGTAATAACTTTTTTGTTTTTAGTTATGATCTTGCAAAGAAGTTTATGCAGTTAAATTTGTAAAAAATTTATTTTTAAATATGATAATGGAGTCAAATAGATTAAAAATTAAAAATATTATAAGTAGGTTAAAGTGGGTCGTAATACCAAGTCAAACACGACTCACTTAATAATCTGTTTATGATATTAGCAGGTGGTTAACACCACGAGTTTTATATGGATAAACACGACCCATTTAACCTATTTATGATATTAAGGTGGTTAAATCTGCGTTTCCATATCACATTGCCTAATTTTTCGTATTGTCGTGTTTGTGGTTTAATAAATTTACATAAATTAGTAAATTGATCGTGTTCGTATTAAATCCTATCGGTGTTGCGTGTTAAGCGAATTCGTGTTGAAATCTGACACCCATCAACCCCATTTTAAACACCCTTGGGTCAACCTATGCATGATTTTTGCTATTGCATTGAAATAACCCGAATTTTTTATTTTCAAAAGATTTTTTTCATTAAATTTAATAAATCGACAGCCTGGAAATTTATAATTAATATTTTAGTGCGAAATTACTGGAGGAAATCGAACGAAAACGCAATTTGAAAAAAGCAGAAACACCAAGTTGGAAATCGACAGATTTGGGCTGAATTCGAACCCCCGAAATCGAACCGAACCAGCCCAACCAATCTTAGAAACATATCCTCCCCTTTTAATCTTCACGCCTAATCTCCCTCACTAATCAGTCTTGCGCCTCCCGGACCAACACACAGCAAACCAAAACCGACACTGCCACCGCCGTCTCCTCCTCCTCTTCTCTCTTCTTCTTCCTTCTCTTCCTTCTTCTTTTCTTTTTAATCTTTTCTTTTCTTTTTCTTTTTCTTCCCTTTCTTCTTCTCTGTGACTATGCATCTGCGTCGCGCGCCCAACGCTCCACAAGAAATGCGAGCCACCAATCATGAGCTCAGCCCACGTCGCGCCAACCTCGCCGCTGCTTCCCACGCTGCAGTAGCCTCCGCCATCGGCTGGCGCTCTCTCCGTCAAGCAAAGCAAGGGACAGAAGGTTGCCTGCCTCCGATCTGTCCAGGTGAGACGTCGATCCAGCAAAGTTCATCCGAACCACCAGGAGCATAATCTGTCTGCGCCTGTAGTTGCGCCGGCCAAAGCTGCTCCGCCACCAAGGTCGGCGCCACCAACTGCAAGTCAGCCGCTCCTGCGTTGAAATCTCAGTGTCCAAATCCGCTTACCAGCAACGTGTAGTTTTCAAAAATCCCGGTAACGCGTAAAAATCCCAATCCTGCAAAGAAATTATATTTTGGGGTATAAATCAATTTTAATAATTTTTAGTTAATTAATTTAATTAATGGAATTGTGGTTTAATGAATTACAGTAATTTTTAGTTAGTTTTAAATTTTAAGTCATTGAGTTAGTTAAATTAATTTGAATTAATGTTGAAATTTATTGATTAATTAAAATATTTGACCTAATTAAAATTTTAATTCTAGTAACTACATATAAATTTGGTTAGGAAAGTTTGATAATTAAAATAAAATCTAATAATTTAAGTGTGGATTAAGGTAGTTTTAGAATATAATGTTATTGTAAATAATTAAATAATTTTTGATTGTGCGGTGATGTTGAAAATTGAAGGTAAGGATGGGAAATTCTGATTTGTTTAATTGCCCGATGGATGGGCTGTGTGTATTGATTGAAAATGATACCTTAGTGTTGTTGGGATATTTAAACAGGTTGATAGTCCCTTTTTTAGGGGGGTGCTCCGAAATTTTTGAATAAAAATTAGACTAAATTTTTTATTTAACACAAATTAATAAATTTTTATTTTAGATTAGTTCTATATTTGGGTAAATATAAATAAATATAAAGTGCTCTGATTATTTACTATCTTTATTAATTCATTTAAATTATTTACATATTTATTTATTTATTTTCATTATTGATTGTTAAATATTGTTATTTATTTTATATTGTTGATTAATTGTTAATAACTATTTATATTTATTTAATTTTGCATGATTTTGAATGTTTAAATTGTGGCATTGCATTATGATGTTTAATTGATTAATATGTCTGCATGTGATTGCAAATGTTTTGATTCATTGTTGTTGTGATAATGCTATGCTTTGTTGTGTGGAATTGGGATGAAAAAAGTGGACGCACCGTGGGTTTTGTGAGGGACGGTTTGTGTATGGATCCGAAATATTATATGATATTTGACCGTCGGCCGAGAAAAATGGGAGAATCGGCGCCCCCGGTGTGCAACTGATGATATGGAATTATCTATGGAAAACCACACAGGGATGGCTTCTTGTTGTGGCGCACTCTGATAATCTAGATTTTGATTGTAGCGCCCGCAGGGTGGCCTCCTGTGTTGAGCAACTTGATGAATCTAGATTGGATGGGAAGACCACCGGGTTGCCTCCTGTTGGTATGGAAAAAGAAAAAGAAGAGAATGGAAATAACCATGAGAGGAACTGGTCAGTGAGGATTAGACCAAGTTTGCCCGTATGCGGGGATCGGCTCTGGTGCAACAATGTATGAGAGGGCGAGCCCATGTGTGAGGACGGCCGTTGGGGTTTCAGGTGGCGCCACTGACTATTTCCAGCTTCCACGTGATGTGATTATATGAAGATGTTTATGATTGTGAGTGCTGGTGATATGCCATTTGTGTGACTGGCTGCGTGAGCATATAACTAGTCGGGTGACTAGATTAATATGTGTACACATTTGTGTGACTGTGTGTGTTGTGCAATAATTATTACTCCTTAGAAAACTCACACGTCTTGTTTGATTTTTCAGGAAGTAAGTTTTTCTTTAATCCGGTTTAGACTATGTTTCTTCGGCGCAGAGCAATAGAGAAATTTTCCTAGTTCTATAATTATTTCACTATGTAATTATGTGTATAAAAAGCTATGTATACTAAAGAGTTATTTGTATACTTTTAATCGTTTATTATTATAGATGAGATAATTTGTTAACCCATATTATAAATGTTGATGGCATTGTTAATTAGGCCCGAACTGTGGACATGTTTAGCCGATAAAATTCGGGCCGAGATTTAATAAAAATTCTTGTTGAGGTTTATTTTTCAGTAATCATTATGGACTAAATGTTTAATATTATATTTGAGTTAGTAAATTTTAGATGTTGTAAATTTTTAGTGTTTCAGGCTTACTACGGGCCTCGGGGGCCTTAAGCTTACCTGGGCCCTAGTGCCGGTCCGGCCCACGGAAATGGGTCGTGACATGCATACTCTAGCAAAAGACTTCACAGAATATTAAAAAGACACATATTAGCATTGTAACTTTTTTTTTAGTATATCTCAATGAGATATAATTTTATAATGTAATTTACAATTATTTTAGTATATAATTTTATTTTTTTTTGTTAATATTATAAAAAAATATTTTATCTTTTAACATTTCTCCGTGCATCGCGCGGGGTTCAACGCTAGTTCCTATTAACTAAATAAAATTCGATGAGAAAAAAAGCATAATGAAATGCTTGTTGATTGGATTCGTGCAAATGTAATACACTCACATGCATGCAATGTTTAGATAAGCAATTATCCCAACTTGGCAAGGGAGTGCGTGTTGAAACACTTATCTTTTGATATATTGAATACGTGCACGTTTATCCAAGCAGTTAATTTGGCCCCACGAGATGTCCTTGTCCTTACAAAATTTCTCTAGTTTGTTTGTATATTAATGACTTTTATAAAATCTGTCACATGCAAAATTTCAAATGTAATTGAGATTGTGACGTTTAAGTTGAAGACAAATTTCTCATCTTAATGTATTTACCATGCTTATCCTCTTGTAGGGATGATATTATAAAAAATTTTGTTTGTTAGTTCAAAAATCCATTTTGTTTGCTTTTTTTTTTTTTTTTTTTTTTTTTTTTTTTAATTTCAAAAAATCAATTAAATTAGGCAGCCCACGTTTAAACCATTTTCCTTTTTTTTTTCCTTTGCTTTTCCTTAACTTTTTTTTTTCCTTTGCTTTTCCTACTCCATCCAGGCAAACAGTCTGCTATTAAAACTTGAAATACTTCTATATAAATCCACCATTATGTGTAGTTTACATCTAACTTAGTGAGAAGGGAGAGAGGAAGGTATCAATAGTGGAAAGACAATGGCTTCTGAATGTCCAGGTAATTAATTTTACTGGGGCTTCCTTGTTTTTAACTTTGATCTTGTACATGGCATGAAACTTACATGAAAATTGCAAATTTACAGGTAAGAGCTCATGGCCGGAGCTTCTTGGGGCGAATGGAAAAGCTGCTGCAGCTCTCATAGAGAAAGAGAACAAACATGTGAATGCAATTGTGTTGAAGGAAGGAACTCCAGTGACTAGGGACTTTAGGTGCGACAGGGTCTGGGTTTGGGTTAATGAATGTGGTGTGGTCGTTCGAGTTCCTATTATTACCTAGGGCTATGCAGTTTTACTCTATCTCCAAATAAATCATGGAATGATTTCAATTATAATGTAATAAAAATTTCCTTCAATATCTACGGAGGCTTGTATTAATAATGTCATCAAATGAATGAATATAGATGAATTATTGCAAATCGACTTTGCATTTTATGGGTGTTAGGCCCAAAAGGCCCTCTTGGCACTATTCTAATTAGGAAAATTGTAGTGAATGTCGCTTTTTGAAATTTATTTTTACAGAATGTTAGTTGAATTTTAAGATTTAAATTATTCTCATTTGATATATACGTTTACTATTGTGCCTTTTTTTTATTGTTAGGGCATTCATTTATTAGTATTTCAGTGTTTTAATATATTAGAGTTTTCTTTTATATTAATTTCCTATTTTAGTGTTTTAATATGTTAGTGTTTCCTTCCGTATTAATTTCCTATCTTCACCGTTGTTTCCTTTTTTTTAGTATATTAATAATATTTTTCTTTTGCCTTTTTTTCATCCCTTATTATTTTCTAATGATTCTTTCTCCTTTTGTTGCCGTCCATTATTTTCTTATCGTTCTTTCTCCTTTTGCTATAGTTCTTCTCATTATTGGTGTTGTTCCATGGTATCGTTTTTTACTCATAAGTTATGCTGATTTCTGTTTTTGATCTGTTGTTTATTATTGAGAATATCTCTATCAATTTTGTATACAATCAGTAACTACTACAGAGATAAGGTATGACTCTCGATTCTTTTGGATTGTTACGATACAGTATATATGTATACGATGTATTTATTTGATTTGATATACAGTATTTACTTGGTTTGATCCAATGTGTTAATTGATGTACATACATTTATTCTGTATTTAATTGATTTTACAGTATTTACTGATACAGTATATATATACATTGTATTTACTTGGTTTAATAGGCGTGTGTGTGTATATATATATATATCGATTTTACAGTATTTACCGAAACAATGTGTATGTGTGTATATATATACCGTATTTATTAACACAGTATATATATACATCATATATACCATATTTATTGTATTTACCATTATTGTTGTCGCAGTTGTAGGTCGTCAATAGTGTTACGGCCGTCATTGTCGTGGTTAAATTACATAAGCTGTATAGAGATTTGCTATTACAGATTTTGCATTTCATTATGTTTCCTTTTTTTATTGTTCCTCTTTGTCCGGTGTTCCCTTTTCTTGGTCCTTTTTTCAGTGTTTCTAGCGTTTCCCTTTTTTTTTTTTTTTTTTTTTTTTTTTTTTTTTTTTTTTTTTTTTTTTTTTGGTGTTTCCTGTTTCTCTTGCAAGGTCAGTTTAGGTATTATTAAATCTTTTTTATTACCGAATTTGTTATTATCTTAATAAGTATTTTTTTATGACATTTAATTAAAAGTGAAACCTTGAATCCGACGTTTACTTAAAAGCCCCTAATTATATAATGATCTTTTCACGTCCTTGCCTGTGCGGGCCTCTAGTTTGGGCCTAGTTTTTTAGGGTGGGGTTGGCAAAGATCTATTTGCATTTGAGATTTATTCTAATGACGAAATATAAATATAATTATTTGGGAATAGATACTTGGGTGACTCTGTTTGTTTCCGTAAAATAACTTACAGAAAAATATTTTTCATAATTTTCCATTATTTGGGGCGTTTAGGAAAATAAGTCAATAGAAAATATTTTCCTGATCAAAGAAAAATTAAGTCATTTTTAAAGAAAATCACTTTCCATTTCAAGAGAGGAAAATATTTTCCGAACATTAACTATCTCTTCTTTTTTTTTTTTTTTTTTTTTTTTTGGGAGACGTTAAATATTTTTTTTTTTTTTTTTTTTTTTTTTTTTTTTTTTTTGAGAGGAGACGTTAACTATCTAATTATAACCTTATAAATGTATATTGTTTAATTTATTAATCATCAGTAGCCACTACCACCGATCATCATTCACCACAGGCCACCACCATGGCTATTGGCTACTGTTGGCCACCACCACCACCAGTCATGGCAACTTTCATAATTTAACATTGTTTGCCTTTATTAATAATAAAATTTTTTAAATACAAAATTTCTATTATTATTAATATTTTACGGTGTTTTGAGTTAAAGCTTTCAATATTTTTTTTAACTAATTTTCAATATTGCAATCAAAAAATGAAAATAATTCATTTGAAAAATATTTTTCAAAAGTAAATTATTTTTTAGAAACAAATAGAGCCTTGGTGTAAAATTTTATCTTGGTATTACCAAGTTTCTTTGAGTATTCACACTTTGCTATCAACTCCTTGAACAATGAAAGTTGAAAATTTTCAGAAAATTTTTTATTTAAAAACTTCTTCAAAAGAATTTCAGCCTAAAAATTATAAAATCTTAATTTGTTATTTTACTTCTAATAGTGTAATAGAAATAGAAAAATTAGGTTTATTCTAAAGTTACAATCTACGGTAGTCATTGTCATTTTATATTATATCCGATATCCGCTACATTGTAAGGCTCTAAATAGTATATTTTTTAAATTATCATAAATAATTTTCTTTCTTATTATATGGAAATATATATTGAAAATAACTAAAAGATTATCATAAAGAATAAGCAATTTTTAATGAAATAATTAATTCAATAAGTTTTTAATTTTAAATCTACTGTGCATAATGACTTATTAAATATGTCATTCCATAGCCAATTAAGTGTGATCTTTTTACTTATGTGAAGAGTTTAAGTCCTCTCTACTATAATAATTTTTATTACTTTTATTGAATAGTTTACAGTATTATTTTAATACATTAAACTTTTTGACGAATAAAAAAAATCTACTATCAAATATTGGTGTGTGTATATATAGTTAATCTTATCTTGTCTTTTGATCTAATGAAGACGTGCACGTGTATCCAAGCAGTTACATTGCCCGCATGAGATGTCTTTGTCCTGATCCTCTCGTTGGTACATTAATGATTTTTATAAAATCTTTCACATGGAAAAATTTGCAATAAAGATTGTGATATTTATGTTAAGACAAATTTCATATTTTATTATATTTACCATTCTTATTCTTAATGTTTTTGGGGATAATATTATAAAAAAAATTTTGTTTGTTAAGACAAATCTTATTCGTTATACTCTCACACACATATGAATACATAGAAACTATTTATCTATATATATATATATATATATAATATATATATATATAAAAATTTGAAACTAAAATATTTTAAAATTGCTGAATGCTACCCTACTTTTTTAGCTTTCTATTTTTTTTTTTCTTTTTTCCTTTATATTATGCTTTCTATTTTTTTTTTCTTTTTTTCCTTTATATATATATTATATATATTTAAAAAAAAATTCTTATATAAACCACTTTGAAACTATTAAATTTTTAAATTTAAATTTTAAAACTTTTTGAGTTTTTTTTTATCTCTATCTACAAATAACCCTATTCACATTCGAAAAAATTAAAAGTATTTGTAGCCATTAACAAGTGTTTGGTATAATAGTAAAATGGATTGTTACATGTCCCTATAACTAGAAATTTTGTTAATTTTCTTCTTAAATAGTTAATTCTATTTATTGAGATACTAAATCAATAATATAACCGATAGTTATATTATTATATCCTCTATTTTATTAAATTAAAAATTTGATAAGGAGTTGTGGTTTGGTTGGTCTTGTCACTAACGTGTAGAATGAAAAATCTTGAATTTAATTCCTCTCGATTACAAGAATTTTCAGCAATTTGATGAGATAAGAATATAGGTAGCTCCTCGTGTTAATTCAGTCCATTAGACTTCCTGATGAATAAAAAAATTGATAGTTTTTCACTTTTTTTTTCCCTCCGTTTGAATGAGACGTTAAAAAAAAAAAAAAATCAAAATAGCATTAATTATGTTATTTTAATTTTACACTTGTCTAAATAATTTCCTTTATTCACAAATATAAATCGTTTTACAATAGTATTTTATCCATAAAATATAAGTAGTTTTGAAAATATTAAAAAAAAATTAATGAATCATTTCTAATTTATCTTTTTTTAACACATTAATTATTAATGATGCCAGACAAAAATGATTTTATCAAATTAATAAACTTTTTATGGAGGTAGTATAAACTTGCACGATAATACCTCTTGTTATAAATATAAAAGAAAAAGAAAGAATTAATATCAACTACTGCAAGACAATAAAAAGAAGCAACACTACTCTTTTCCTTGCAGTTGTCTTTGAAAATCCCATGTGTTTTTTTCACAATGAAAGGATACACCTGGCTTTGAATTTGAATTTCCGTTTTGATTTATTTTTATTTTTTTATGTGGAAATTGTTATGAGCTACATTATTATGTTCATTCTTCCTTTCTTTTTTTTTTTCTTATTCTTTATTGCATTCAAAATTTAATTAGGAAAATTCTAAAAGATTTTATAAAAAATTTAATTTGATACATCTTTTATTTTTATTCATCAAATTGTTTTTTTTTAAATATAATACATTAATAATAAAATCAAATATGACAAATACTCAAGGAGACCAGACACAGAACTTGTGATCATAATTAATAGAAAGTTCGTTGATCCTTCAATAATAAAAAAATTATTTATATTCTTTTGAATAATAAAACTAAAACTAAAAGAAACAATATTGGATTTTTCCACTTGAAGATAATCTTGACCAATATAAATCTTCATAGTAGCAACTAGTCTTTCAATTGATTTGAATGACAAAATAATTTTTCCTGATCTTCTATGCTTAGATTGCTTTTCCAAAAACTTGTTGCGTCTGATGTACACGCATGAGTTCAAGCCATTATACATTAATAGCATCAATGGAGGAACAGGCTGCATTACCAGGCTTCATTGATCGAGGATACACATCAGTAAAATAAGATCTAAATTCTCCAACCAAATAAAATCAAAGATCATACCTTTTAAAAACAAATCTTCACGAAGAAGGGGGACAACAGAACTCCAAACATGGAGACAAAGCAACAATAACAAAAAAAAAAAAAAAAAAAAAAAAAAAAAAAAAAAAAAAAAAAAAAAAAGACAAAACAGATCTATTAAAGAAAATTAGATCTAAAGTTTATTAAAACGAATAAAAGATTAGGAGCAAGAAGAAAAAAAAAAAAAAAAAAAAAAAAAAAAAAAAAGACAAAACAGATCTATTAAAAGAAAATAGATCTAAGTTTATTAAAAACGAATAAAAGATTAGGAGCAAGAAGAAAAAAGAAAAATAGGAGGCTACCGTTGATTAACAACTGCAGGCCCATACAAAAGCTAGGGTTACATAAACTAGAGAGAAAACAGGAAGAGATCAAATTATTCATTTCAAGTCTATTGTATTAGTTGTTGTTTTTGTTGAGAAATATAATTCATTAATAATAAAATCAAATATTATAAATACCAATTAGACCAGAACTTACTATCATAATTAATAGAAAGTTCGCTTATCCTTTAACAATAAAAGAATTATCTATATTCTTTTGAATAATAAAACTAAATTTAAAAGAAACAATATTTGATTTTTCTTTTTGAAGACAACCTTAATCGATATAAATCTTCATAGTAGCAACTTGTCTTTTAATTGATTTAGACGACAAAATAACTTTTTCGGATCTTCTATGCTTGGATTGTTTTTCCGAAAATTTGTTGCATATGATGTACACGAATGAGTACATGCCACTATGCGTTAATAGTATTAATGGAGGAACATGCCCCACTACCAGGCTCCATTGATCAAAGATACACATCAGTAAAATAAGATCTAAATTTCCCAACCAAATAAAATCAAATATCATACTTTTTAGTAACAAATCTTCACAAACAATGAACTAAACTCTCACGGAAAGAGGGACGAAAGAACTCGAAATATGGAAATAAAACAATAATGACAAAAAAAAAAACAAAGAAAAAAAATAGATCTATTAATAGAAAATAGATTTGAGTTTATTAAAAACGAATAAAAGATCTAGAGCGAGAGGAAAAAAAAAATAAAAAGTAGGGGGCTACCACTAGATTAGATAGACTAGAGAATAAAAAGGAGGAGAGAAACCGTAAAGCCACTACGATAGAAGATATAATATTTTATATTGTATTAGTTGTTAATTGTTCTACTAGTTGTTAACTATTAGTTTTTATCTGACAGATGTTTTTATAACTATTTAAATTAAAAATATTTGGTAAAAATAATTATTTAACTTAAAATGATAAAAAAGGATATTAGTTGTTTAACTAGCTGAATTCAATGAAAAAAAAATAATGAGTATGATTGTCAAAAATATTTAATCACCCTACATGAAATGCTAACCATCAGGTTATTTCATATTTGATAAGAAAACTGTATCAACCTCTAAAACCTATTATAAATATATATTACCAAATAGATAAAATTTTGACCCAATCAAAACCCTAAAAGCTAACTCAAAGGTTATTATCCAAGTCTAGACCTGTTTTATCAAATGTAGAAATAATATAAATTATTTTAATTTATTACCAAATATCATATAGTCTTGTTGCATCCTTAAATTATTGTTAAATTTGCTTGCTCCATAATTGGGTGTATAATAATTTTGTTAAAAAAAATAAAAATGCATATCATAATATTTTTTCTTTAAATCTATAATATATAATAATTAATAAAATATATAAAAGTGAAAATGAGTAAACCATTATTTAATTGCCAAAAATGTTCTACTAGATTGATAAAAATATAATTAAGAATTTTAATTTGATTGGTTGAAAAATAAAAATAATTTAATTTTGATTGTTCATATTAATTTCCTATTTAAATCTAAATTCTATCCGATGAAATAAAAAATTATATTATATGCTCTATAAGGTATATATTAAATATGGTAATGTACGTACTATATGGTAATACTATTTGGTGAATACTAAATAAGATAAGACCTTGTCTTCCATCTTGCAAATAAGGCATATCTTATTTAGGCAAAATTTTTGAAATGATGCCTTTATTTCCATGTCTTCCAGCTATTTTATCACCTGCTTTGATTTCACATCTTTGCAAATTTTAAATATGGTAAGAAATATTTTTATGGATTTTAACATGTTTAAAGAAATTTTTTTTTTTCCTAGAAAAGCAATTATAAAATTAATTATAAGCTTATAGACTATAGCTAAAAGTAAAAAGAAAAAGAAAAACATCAAAATTATAAATAATGCTCTAAAACAATGATTAAAATATTAATTATTATTATAACTATTTATCTACACTATATAATATCTATAATATAAATTCAAAATGTAATAAACCAAGTCAAACTAATATTTATTTTAAGAAAAATTATTTTATAAAATATTTTTATCTATTTTGTGAATGCTTTTCAGATTTTTATTAGTATAAATCATTTAAAATATTATAAAATTAAGAAAAATTATTATATAAAACTTAAATTACATTTATTTGCAATAATTAAAAATCAACAAGTGCAAACAACGTCCAACACACATTTAAAAAAACTAGTTTTGCAAAATAGTCAATGTCGACGGTTTTTTTCTAATTTATTGAAAAATCCAATAGGTGGGAGTAATATCATGCATTATAAAATAGAGTGTCGACATCGAAATATTCTTTATTGAAGCATATACGTGTTCTTTATTTATGACCTGGAGACAAGCATTCTCCCTCCGCCATTCCCACATTCCCACATTTATATATAGATTTTACAAAGCAACTAATATAATTAGCAGGGCACGTTTTAAAACATTTCTTTTTTTGTTTTATCCGTTTCCTATTATAAATGGGCAAAAACTCTGCTGCTAAAAATTTAAAAGCTTCTGTATAAATCCGTCATTTCTGTAGTTTTAATCAAACTTATTGGAAATGGAGAGAGGAAGATACCAATAGAGCAAAGACAATGGTTTATATTTGTCGACCTGGTAATTTATTAGTTTTATTGAGTTTCTGTTTTTAACTTCAATTTTGTGTATGGCATGAAACTTCAAGAAAATTGAAAATTTGCAGGTAAGAGCTCGTGGTCGGAGCTGCTTGGAGCGAATGGAGAAGCCGCTGCAGCTCTCATAGAGAAAGAGAATAAAAAGGTGCATGCTATTGTGTTACAGAGTCTGGGTTTTTATTAACGAATCTTGTGTAGTCGTTACAGTTCCGACAATTGGTTAAGAGCACGCAGTTTTACTCTATCTCCAAATAAATTATGGAATCGTTTAGATTATAATGAAATACAAGTTTCCTTCAATATACACAAGGTTTATATTAGTAATATCATAGAATGAATATTGCTATTGCAATTGAAAAAGATATAAATAATTATTCATTTGTTCGATTCACCTCATCATTTGTTTTTTTTTTTTTTTTTTTTTTTTTTTTTTTTTCACCTCATCAATTTGTTTTTTTTTTTTTTTTTTTTTTTTTTTTTTTTTTTTTTTTTTTTTTTTTTTTTTTTTTTTGAAATTATGCAGTTATGATTAAACTTTATATTTAATAATATGATAAAACCAGGAACATTCAAATTCACATTGATAAATTCATTTATTACTCAAAATTGATGTTACAATTTTTCATCATTTGAGGTTGGATATGAATGATTGAAGTTTTATGTATTTAGACTAACAATAAATTCATTTGGTGAGGAATTAATGATCCTCTATTTTGGGAATAAGGTGGATATCATGTCAGACATAATGTAAAAGAACTGAACAAGGCGGGTTGGGTTTTAAAAAACTTAAACATTTTAATCTCTCTCCTGCGGAAGTATGGATGGCGTTCCTACGAAACTTTAACAGCCATAATTTAAACGGCTCGATATTTTTCAAAGGTTCAAACCCAAGTTACATAGGTGTGTGGCAATCTTAAGGTCTTATTGAAGAAGGGTTGTTGTATTATTGTATATTATAATAGTTAGTGATAGGAACAATTATTAAGAATTGATCCAACATTACATATTGATATAAATAAGGTAATGCTCCGTCAAAGATTTGTTTAAACATGTAATTAATATCCAGAATTATTTCTGGGATTCTCACTTAATATTTACTCTTCAGTTAGATTAGAAAATGTACTATAAGTACATGCAACATATCTCAGCAAGGGGCATTGCATTCAGAAAACATTTTCTGAATATTTCATTTCACATCTATCAAGTAGCATTTTTATTTTTAGAAATTAATTTTAATAATCCTTCATATTTTACCAGCTTCTAATTATATAGCCTTTTTACTAATTTGCGAACTTTTAACTATACATTTAAAACAAAGTGGAGGAATATGAGAAAAAAAAAAAAAGGAACAAATGTTCTTACTACTCTAATACGCGATAATGTAGGGACTAAATAATAATTCACCTACAATTTTTTTATCGTTGTCAATGTCAAATTTTTGTACTTCGAAACTTATCTTTTCTTCATTTAGAAAAGCAAATCATCGTGATATCTTATAGCAACGCGCTTATTGATATCTTAGCCACCGTCCACTTCAATTATCAATACATTTCTTTATCTATGTTCATATTTTTCCAGTCGCAGCCCTACATATAATCCTCCTTTATGTACTTCTGTTTTAGATCACCCTTTTCTTGCCTTTTACATGATGTAACTGGGTCTCATTCTCTACCATCTTAAGCTCTGTTATCCTTTCCCTGCCAAAAAGAAAAACGAAAAATAATAGAACTGGCGTTCATGGTGCCGCGGCTGTCTAGGGTAACGATACTAGAGAATAATACAAACGGTGGAATAAAGATCCAAGAATCGCACCCTTATCAACCTGAATGTATAGAACTGAACCCTTTTGGTTCCAAAGAGATTGAAGCCACCTTGTACTTCCGGCGAGGCATCGACTCTAGAAGGCCCACGGTCTTTAAATTGTTCATTAACGGAGTCTTAACGGAAAGGCGCTTGGCACCTCAACACTTGATCCAGTATCTCAAATCTCCTTCTACTTTGATAATAACAGTGGCCAGCTTATCGTGAAATCCCTATTAAATGACAAACGACCTTGCTTAAATAACTAATACAAACAGAAATTTAAACTCAGTATCTCTAAGATCGTGTTAAAGAGATAGTCTATCTAAATAAACTTAATTAAATATCTAACTGTCTTAAAACATAGCAGTTTTATTCTGAATAAGTAAAACAGTCCTAGACCAAAAGAAAAACTTATCTTTGTAAACACCAGAGATAAAGAAGAAGCAAAGACACTCAAAATTAACAATCTTTTTGTGGTGTGTTACATCTAGTAACAAACACCGTTTTTCTTATATAATGAAAAATAACAAATCTCCTGCTACAATTCAGTAACACGTTACTTCCACTAAGTCACTTCCTAAAAACTAGTTCAACACCTTAACTAACTAGTCCTTATTTTATGGAGAAATAGAACAAATAAAAAACTTAAATGCTTACAGCTACAATTTCCAGTTGAAGTTTATGACAGCAAACTAAAAATAAAAAAAAAACAAGTTTAACAACTAACATTCACTCCCCTAAACTTGTTTTACTTTGCTGAAGCAACTTTCTTTACACCAATCTTCTCCCTTAACTCCAGGAAACGTTGCCTAGCAAGAGGTTTTGTCACTTGTTTTTACCTTTTCTGAAGCAAACTTTTCTTTACACTTTACACCAATCTTCTCCCTTAACTCCAGGAAACGTTGCCTAGCAAGAGGTTTTGTCAAAATGTCTGCCAACTGTTCATCTGTTTTCACATACTCTAACTCAATAGCTTCAGTTTGCACACATTGACGAATAAAATGAAACCTGGTATCGATGTGCTTACTTCGATCGTGGTAAACAGGATTCTTCGCCAACGCAATAGCTGACTTATTGTCAACATTAAGCCTAGCTTTCACTTGTACTTGACTGATGTCACTCAAAATTCTTCCCAACCATACACCTTGACATGCTCCAGCAGTCGCAGCTATATACTCAGCCTCACATGATGACAAAGCCACAACCTTCTGCTTCTGCGACACCCAAGTTATAGGATTTTCTCCAGATAGTACAGCACACCGGTTGTACTCTTTCTATCATCGATATCTCCTGCCATGTCACTGTCACTAAAGCCTACAAGCTCCATATTTGACTGCTTCTTTTCATAAACACAGCCAAAATTAAGAGTACCTTTCACATACCTCAAAATCTGCTTCACAGCTAAAACATGCTTTCACAGCTGTGAGATGTTGAAGTCGTTGGTGTTCCATTATATCTTACTCATCCACCAACCGAGTAGGCTAATGTGTCCGTGTATCACCAGATAACGTTAAGCTCCGATAACACTTTCTTCGTAGTAGTGGTTCAATCAACAGCAGGTTCTCCATTCCAATTTACTCATCTTCGTTCTTGGGTCCATGGGAATTTGAGCAAGGATTGCACTCCATTCCTAGCTTCTCTAGGTATTTTTCGATGCATACCCAGCCTGACATAAGGTGATTGACTCATCATTTTGCCTCAACCTCTATACCCAAATAATAACCTCAACAGCCCAATTAACTCATTTCAAATTTCTGCTGCAGTCCCCTTTTGGAATTGAGCCAATAAAACTGTTGTGTTGAGCCGACTTAGATTAAATCGTCCCATAAGTTTCCAACTATCATAGCTTTCAGTACCCTTGATTTTCTTGTAGAGGAGCAATATTCCTGTGGACATCTAATAAAACCAATTCGATTGCAAACACTGATCAATGTTTAACAAAATTTCCAGGCCCCTCGTGCTGTTTTAATCCCATACAAGGCTTTATATGAAGTTTTAAGTAAACCTTGTTTGATTTTCTTTTGTCGACGAACCCTCTGGCTTGAGCTACTACAACCTCCTCTCTGTTTCTCAAACATTCATAGAAAGGCTTCTTACATCCATATGATGTACCTTCCAGTTTTTTTTGATTGCTTGCAAAGCCAAAATTAATTCCTCACAGTTTTCTGAATCTGGCCACAAGCTGCAAAGAATTTCGCTGTAATCTATACCATCTATACCATACTGCTGTGCGTAACCCTTCGCCACGAGTCTCGCCTTATGCTTCACTATTTTTCCTTCTGGATTCTTCTTCAGTTTAAAAATCCATCTAATGCCGATTGCTCTATGATTCTTCGGCAAATCAACAAGTTCCCACATTCTGTTCTTCTCTATGGACAAAATTTCAGACTTCATGGCATCCCTCCAATTTTCATTCTTAGAGGCTTCCTCATATGAGGTCGGTTCCTCTACAGAAAGAAAACAAAGGCCAGCTTCCTCCTCTGCTTCGTTCAGTTGTTTGTAAATCTCTTCTAAAGATCTGAATTTTTTAGGAGTTGAAGTGCTTGATGAATGATGACGCCTTTGAGGTACTGTTTGGCGTTGATCGAGGTTGAGGCACAAGTGTCTCTAATTTGTCTTTCCACCTCTGATCAACTTCAGTTTCGTTCTCATATTCTCCTCCGTCTGTTTCTGCTCTGTTTTTCTGACCAGTTGAAACAGTAATGTTCCTCCTTGCTCCATCTTCGTCTTTTGCATTCTCTTCCACAACCATTGCTTCTTCTTCTTCGAAAGACACATGCCCTGCGTCAACACTAAGTCTATTCTTCGCTTTGGATTAAGAGTCTGTAAGCCTTGGTGTCCCATCTCCGTACTCCCAAAACAGAATAGTCTTCACGCTCCTATCACAAGTTTTGGGTGGAAGATATGAAGATATTATTCTTGCATGATAGCAAGACACCCGAAGATTCTAAAAATGATGAACCTTCGGTATCTTCTCAAACCAAAGCTTGATATGGTGTAACAGTCCTCTTTGAGTTGAGTCCGGGTTTGACGCAAACCTGGTTGGGGTAGAGATGGATGATAAAGTGGAAACTATTTGCATGGAAAGTTTACGGACTTCGTTTGCCTCCAACATATAGCCTTGGGTAGTAAGTTGTAGCCTATGTTACTTGAAGGTTTACCAATTAGAGAGTTTTATTCACCCAAATCACTTTCTTCTAACGTTTTGATGGCTTACCCGTAATAACCATTTCACTTTCCCATTTTCATCTTTATCTTCATCTTCTTCATTTTCTTCCTTTCCTCTTCCACCCCAATTTTAATGGTAGTTAAGCCTTAACTTCACTTTTTCTTCTATCCAAGTAAGTAAACCTTCTTGAAGTTCATAATTGAATATGATATTAGAATTCATAAGAATTCTTATTTATAGGTGAAGGGAGTTCAAAAAGTGTAGAAAAAAGAAGTTAAACAAGCTTTTGACGTCAAGGTTTGATATCTCATGTTGTTTATTAGTTTCTTTGCATGTAAATTGTGTGGTGTTGCT